GCCAGAAAAGATCTGTCCCCCTCAGATGGAAGGAACATGGTCAGGAACCTGCTGGGTCACCAGTCTCTGTCCACGCTGAAAGTTTTACATGATCCTGAACTAAGAGGACACAGAACAAAGCTACTGATACAAAAGAGACACCTTCAAGTTCACATCTACATAGACAAGACAAATCTGACTTTAGAAGAGACAAACATGGAGCTGTTTGAACACAAAGACAAGAAGACTGTTTGGAGGCATCAAGGTGGGACTTACAGACCTGGCAAGACTGGACCAACTGTCCATCGTGGTAGTGGCAGCATAATGATGTGGTTATAGTGGAGGGGAGGAGGGCCACCTCCAGATTCTCCAGCTTTTCCTTCTTCTGGCATTCTGAGCATAGGTGCCTTTTCTTTTCTCTCCTCCTTTATCTTTTCCCAAGGATCTTGTTCTGTCAGTCTAACATAGCACTTCTCTGCATTCCTCCTGAAACCCCATTTATTATTAAATCATGAACCAGGTAAGCTGCTCATAATATTTTCTCCATAATCAGAACGGAGCAGGAGGCTTGCCCATGTATATTTTAGATTCTTGGAAGGAGTACAAGATTATGTGCCTCCCCCAGCTGTCTGTGAGGATGCAGAAGACACATGGATATTTTGGATTTATGATTTCTGGATTTCTTCTGATTGGAGTGCGAGGATTTCTGGTATTTTGGAAATTTGGGAGTGAATGGAGAGTCACCGGAACTCAAGGAAAGTCTGCCAGGCGGGGACCGCTCAGACTCAGACAATGCTCGTGGTGAACCGCAAGCTAGCAGCGATTCTGCAAATGGATGTGATTACTGAGGAAGTCACTGCATGTTATAGGCAAGTTTAAACCCAATTATTGGATTTACTGAGGGACTGAAGACCAGCTAAGATCTGCAAGGAAGGGAGGATATTATCTCTGCCTGCCCCAAAACAATTCTTATCTGAATCTGGTGGTAGCCTTGAGGCTGCGGAGAAGATAACCCCCACAAGAGGAATGCAGACAGATGCTGTGAAACCCGCCCATTCGGAACTGTGGTCTGACCTGACAAGGTCACTAAAGCTAAAGAGTCAATGTGCTCTACACTCCCTGGAACTCCTTTCCACCTGTGAACTACAGGGATTGATCACACACACTGAGGCTGCGGCTCTCTCTGAAGCAAGAAGGCTTATAGCCCCTCCCACCTGCCTCTTGGAGACTCATGTCTGTGAACGGTCTGAAGTTTTGTGCTTACAGTGCTCAGCATAAATGAGTACACCCCCTTTAAAAAGTACAAATTGAATCAGTAGCTCATGAACAAAAGAACAATTTCCAGAATCTTCATCAAGCTGGGTTTTATTGAACACGTGTTTAACTCCATAACATGAAATGAAGGTTAAAAATAAAACTTGTCACAAAATCTTCAGTTTTACTAAAATTGGTTAAAGCAAAATGAAAACACCCCACAACAGAAACTACTACATCTAGTCTTTTGTATGACCATGGTATCGGCATAGTGCAACATCTATCTTTTTCCATTCTTCTTGAAGAACCTCTAGAGCCTGGATGCTGGATGGAGAGTGATGTTCAACTTGCTGCTGCAGAACTCCCCACAGGTGTTGACTGGCCTCAGATCAGGAGACATTCAATCACCTTCACCCTGTTCTTCAGAAATGCAACAGTGGCTTTTCTCCTAAGACTATAACTGGGGTGTAATCATTTTTGCAACATGGGCGTGAAAGGATTTGTTAGGAAAATCACTTTTTTGTGTGTGCAAATGAACAAATCTAGTTTGCAATCAACGGCCCACATTTGTGGGAGTATTTTGTAGTTTAGTATTTCATAGAAAATGCTTATTCTGAAAGCAAACTAAAGGTTTTCTGACAAATGTAGTGGGGTGTACTCATTTATGCTGAGCCCTGTATATGTTGAGTTTTTTTTTATTTTTTTTTTATTTTGGCATAGCAAAGCTATGGGGGTAATGAGCATCTTGTACAGCTGCCTGGTCTACATGTTGTGTGTTTAACCTTGGTCGGGTTGTGCTGTTCTATGCTCCAGGATGCTGGGGCAGTGACAATATGTTGACGCTAAGCTACAAATACAGAACCCTAATGCATGTGTGGCTGTATCTGGTGAATTTTAATCATGCCTCGCTCTCTGCTACACTTCCAACATTTCAACAGTTTGTCAGCTGCTCCACCAGAGAAAACAAGACATTGGATTTGTGTTATGCAAATGTAAAGAATGCATACATGTCCAAAACAAGACCTCCTCTGGGACAGTCAGATCACAATCTTGTTTTTCTCTGCTCAGAATACAAACCACTTGTTCAGAGGCAACCTGTGACAAGAAGAACTGTGAGAAAATGGTCACAGGACGCTGAAGAAGCCCTGCAGAGTTGTTTTGAGACCACAGATTGGGTGACTCTCTGCCAAGGATATGAAGAGGACAACAATGCCATGACTGGATGTGTCACTGACTATATAAACTTCTGTGTGGATAACATCATACCCACCAGAACAGTGAGATGCTTCGCTAATAACAAACCCTGGATCACGAGTGAACTGAAGAATCTGCTATATGAGAAAAAAAGAGCCTTCAAGGAGGGAGACAGGGAATTATTGAGGAGTATACAGAAGCAACTGAAGATCAAGATCAGAGACAGCAAGGAGGCATACAGGAAGAAGCTGGAGAACAACCTACAGAGGAACAATATCAGAGATGTCTGGTCAGGGATGAAGAAGATCACAGGCTTCAAGCAGAGGAAGGATTGCACAGATGGCAGCCTGGACACAGCCAATGAACTGAACAAGTTCTTCAACAGGTTCAGTTCAGGAACAAACCCAGCATCCTCCTCGCCTGTCCCCAGCCAATCAGACATCCCATCCTCCTCTGATCCAACATTTTCCTGTCACATGCCAGCTCGTTTGTCCTCTAACACAGTCATGGACTCTTCTGGTTGTATAAATCTGTCTTCAACCAAGTCAGGAGATGCTGCTGCCCCATTTACCTCCCCCTCCCACCTATCTATCTATCTATCTATTGTAAACAACTACCTCTGCATTGAAATTGCACACACCTGCTGCTATATGTTTTGTATATTATTAGTGATATTTACCTGTTTAATATTATCTTATTGTTAGGGGTGTTTTTTGTTTTGTTATTGTTGTGCATAAGCACTTTATGTAAATGTCTACGCATGGGACAGTGTGAAACGTAATTTCAATTCCTTGTATGGCAAGCACATTCGAAGAATTGACACATAAAGTATTCTATTCTATTCTATTCTATTCTATCTGTCTCTAGAAGTCAGGTGAAGAGCCAGCTGGAGAGACTGAACAGGAACAAGGTTGCAGGTCCAGATGGTGTCAGCCCCAGAGTACTGAAGGCCTGTGCAGAGCAGCTCTGTGGGATTCTGCAGCACCTCTTCAACCTCAGCCTGGCCCAGGAGAAGGATCCAGTCCTGTGGAAGACATCCTGCCTTGTTCCAGTTCCAAAGAAAACTCGCCCATCAGTCAATGATGACTACAGACCGGTTGCCCTGACATCCCACATCATGAAGGTCCTGGAGAGACTCCTGTTGGTCCACCTGAATAAGCAAACTGGAACATATCAGGATCCGCTGCAGTTTTCTTATCGCCATAGAGTTGGAGTTGAAGATGCCATCATCCAGCTGCTTCAACCAATCCACTGTCATCTGGACAAAGCAGGCAGCACTGTGAGGGTCATGTTCTTTGATTTCTCCAGTGCATTTAACACAATCCAGCCTGATGTACTTTGCCAGAAACTCCAGAAGACACAGGTGGGGGCCTCAGCTATCGCCTGGATTAAAGACAACCTGACAAACAGACCACAGTTTGTGAGGCTGAAGAACTGCACATCAAACCAGGCGATCAGTACCACTGGAGCACCACAGGGGACTGTACTCTCACCATTCCTTTTCACCCTGTACACCTCAGACTTCCAGTACAAGTCAGAGACCTGTCATCTACAGAAATACTCAGATGACTCTGCAGTTGTCGGGTGTATCAGAGATGGACAGGAAGCTGAGTACAGAGAGCTGGTGGAGCGCTTTGTGGCATGGTGTGGAAACAATCATCTGACCTTGAACGTGAACAAAACAAAGGAGATGATTTTAGACTTCAGAAGAAACAGGGTGGAGTCAAACACTGTTTCCATCATGGGAGAAGAAGTGGAGGTGGTTGAGGAATACAAACACCTTGGAGTTCACCTGGACAACAGACTGGACTGGAGAAAGAACAGCGAGGCCATTTACAAGAAGGGAGACAGCAGACTGCACTTCTTGAGGATGCTTAGGTCCTTCAATGTCTGTAGCAAGATGCTGCAGATCTTCTACAAGTCTGTTGTTGAGAGTGTAATCTCTTCAGCCATCGTCTGTTGGGGTAGTAGCATCAGAAGCAGGGACCTGAAAAGGCTCAACAGCCTAATAACAAAGGCTGGTTCTGTTCTGGGGACGACTGTGGAACCGCTGGAGGAGATAATGCAAAGAAGGATTCTCCAGAGAATCAAGAAAATGATGGACAACCCTGAGCATTCTCTTCACAAGACTGTCCGACAACGGAAGAGTGTCTTCAGTCAGAGGCTTCTTCAGTTTGGCTGCAACACTGACCGCTACTGGAGATCCTTCCTGCCAACAGCCATTGTAATATACAACACCTCTTTGATGACTTGATTATTATTATTATTATTATTATTATTATTATTATTTCTATTATTATTACTATTATTCTGAGCTACTACAGCAATCAATTTCCCTCTGGGATTAATAAAGTATTTTTGAATTGAATTGAACTGAATAAACCTGATTCTGATTCACCTGAAACGATCAACTAGTTGGTAGAAACTCTGATATGGATAAGGTGACAATGACCCAAAAACACATCAGAACTGGCTTCATTAGAAGTAAACCTGGTTCCTCCTCCTGAATCCTGGTTTTGGTGTGAACAATCCTCAGAACAGTGGGATTATGGTTCTGGTTCCTTATGAAGTCTTTACATGTGTACTGTCATAGCAAGTTGTGTAATCTGGGTGGGGTGGTCCGAACAAAGCTTTAGGTTCAGCAGGAACTGGTCACATTATCTAGAGAAGCATTATTGTTATCATCAGTGTTTAATATCCCATAGCCAGAGCAGTAGCAGGAGAGACAGCACTGTCTGCTGGAAAAAACAAAATGACAATAAAAATATATATGTGGGCAATGACAGAAAACAGAGGGCAAAATACATAAACAAATAAATGCAGTGAAATCAATGATAGAGGATACAACAAAATCAGAGAAACGTTAAAAACAATTATAAATATGCTTACATACATTTCAATCATACATTTTTTTAGTTCCTCATATTTTGTCACAAAGTTGTTATGATATATGTCCAAATAATTTTGTGTTATTCAGGTTGGTGGTTCTGAAGCCCATTTCAGCTGCCAGTGGAACCAGAACCAGAACTCAACTAGCACCAGTGCTGTCTCCAGCTTCTCTGTGATGTCACTGAATCTCACAAACAATAATCATTGGTTTAAACCAGGGGTGCCCAATCCTGGTCCTGCAGGGCTGGTATCCAGCAGGTTTTAGTTTTCCAGGTGGTCCCTCGTTTATCGCGGTAGATGCGTTCCAGACCTGGATGCGATAGGTGAAAATCCACGAAGTAGGGACTCCATATATACAGTACAGAACAGTATTTATTTAACAGGTACGTATTCAGTATTCAGACTTTTAAAACCCTCCCTTTACATAGTACTGTTAAGAAACCACCCTTTAATGTACAGAACACTTAATCTAAAACAGGCACTAATATTAAAATGTTAGAATATTAAAGAAATGATGATGAAAACTACCGCGAATCGGCAAATTTCCCTTGAATAAGGCTCCAAAGAAAAAATCCGTGAAGTCGTGAATCCGCGATAAACGAACCGCGATGTAGCGAGGGATCACTGTAACCCTGCTTCAACACACCTGATTTCAATCAGCAGGTTCGAAGCGGGCTTCTGTAGAGCTTGATGAGCTGCTGCACAGGTGATTCAGCCTCTGAATCACAAGTGTGTTGGAGGGGAGAAACCACAGAACCTGCTGGATACCGGCCCTCCAGGGCCAGGATTGGGTACCCCTGGTTTAAACAGTTATGCATCATAACTGAGGTTCCATGTGTTTAGGTAGGAAACCCAGTATTTTTTTTTGCCAATAGCAAATATGTTTCTTCATATATTACAAATATAATTTAAGAATAACTTAAGAGTTCCTATAAATAAGTCAGCTGGAAAACAAATAGTTAAAAACAATACATTATCCAATCTAGAGGAACTTTATTTAGTTATGGAATTAACAGCACTCGAAGGAAGGATGCAAAAAGGTCAGGATGTGGGGAAAGAACAAAAACCAGAAAGAGAAATTACCTTGAAAATAGACCTTGTGAATCCTGTTGTGCTGCACTGTCTAACTCGAAACGTGATTGGTTAATCAGTAATAATATAAGAACTGTCGTCAATTGGAACGTCAAAATAAGGGAAACTAGCAGAGAACCACTCTCACCTGTGGAGTGTTAGGTAAATAATAGTTGGATCAGACATTTTTGACCCAGGCATAGCACGGACTAAGTTTCTCAGCTGACCTGGGAATGTCTGTTTATTCTGGAGCCAGTGTGGTGTCGAGGTTTGCATGTGTTTAAGTGTGTGTGTGTGTTTGCGTGTACATGTAGGACAGAACCATGTGATTTATCTGTTTAAGTCAGATGGAAGTGACATAGAACCTGGAATGTGACTGTAATTCCCACACCCACCCTATCAAGGGATGAGTGGGCGTGGCCAGCAACAGCTCTGAGATGGCTCATTCTGGCTCAAACTGCTGAGATGCTTTATGGGAAAGGGATTTGGTGCAGAGGACTTCAAAAACATTTACTGTATGGACCATAGAACAATTATGACAAATAATTCATAATAATGCAGAAAATCAATAAATATCTGTCTTGTGATTCTTGTTAAAAGTGTACTTGAATATTATAGAGTAAAAAATAACACACATGGATTTTCAATTCATCGTAAAAATTAGAGTAGAGTTTGGCTTCATTCACACAGGAGTTGTTTGTTGTGAAGCTGCTTGTTACGCTGCTGAGAAGTGAGATTTGATGGAGTCCTCCCGGAGCTGGTGGTGCTTTCCGCAGTAAGGCTCGTCAGCACGGGAGCGGCGCTGGATGGTGATTCTGTAGTTTTTTCTGCAGATAAATGGATGATGGGTAACATTCCTAACATTGAGTGTAAACTATGGGAAGCAGCAGCTTTCATTATTAGGTGTTATATGAATTTTGATTTTCACCTAAAAATCCACATTTTCTTACCAACTATTAAACCCCTGCTAGCTGCTGACCTGGATGTTTGGTCCAAATACAAAACAAAACAAAACTACAGCTGCACCTAACCCACCCATCATGCCCGCTCACAATAAACCCTAGAAAGTTCACCATGAACCCAAGAATGTTCAACATGAACCCTAGAAAGTTCACCATGAACCCTAAAAAATTCACCATGAACCTTGGAAAGTTCACCATGAACCCTAAAAAATTCACCATGAACCCAAGAATGTTCACCATGAACCCTAGAAAGTTCACCATGAACCCTAGAAAGTTCACCATGAACCCTAGAAAGTTCACCATGAACCATAGAAAGTTCCACATGAACCCTAGAAAGTTCACCATGAACCCTAGAAAGTTCACCATGAACCATAGAAAGTTCCACATGAACCCTAGAAAGTTCACCATAAACCCTAGAAAGTTCCACATGAACCATAGAAAGTTCACCATGAACCTTGGAAAGTTCACCATGAACCCTAAAAAATTCACCATGAACCCAAGAATGTTCACCATGAACCCTAGAAAGTTCACCATGAACCCTAGAAAGTTCACCATGAACCCTAGAAAGTTCACCATGAACCCTAGAAAGTTCACCATGAACCATAGAAAGTACCACATGAACCCTAGAAAGTTCACCATGAACCCTAGAAAGTTCACCATGAACCATAGAAAGTTCCACATGAACCCTAGAAAGTTCACCATAAACCCTAGAAAGTTCCACATGAACCATAGAAAATTCACCATGAACCTTGGAAAGTTCACCATGAACCCTAAAAAATTCACCATGAACCCAAGAATGTTCAACATGAACCCTAGAAAGTTCACCATGAACCCTAAAAAATTCACCATGAACCTTGGAAAGTTCACCATGAACCCTAAAAAATTCACCATGAACCCAAGAATGTTCACCATGAACCCTAGAAAGTTCACCATGAACCCTAGAAAGTTCACCATGAACCCTAGAAAGTTCACCATGAACCATAGAAAGTTCCACATGAACCCTAGAAAGTTCACCATGAACCCTAGAAAGTTCACCATGAACCATAGAAAGTTCCACATGAACCCTAGAAAGTTCACCATAAACCCTAGAAAGTTCCACATGAACCATAGAAAGTTCACCATGAACCTTGGAAAGTTCACCATGAACCCTAAAAAATTCACCATGAACCCAAGAATGTTCACCATGAACCCTAGAAAGTTCACCATGAACCCTAGAAAGTTCACCATGAACCCTAGAAAGTTCACCATGAACCCTAGAAAGTTCACCATGAACCATAGAAAGTTCCACATGAACCCTAGAAAGTTCACCATGAACCCTAGAAAGTTCACCATGAACCATAGAAAGTTCCACATGAACCCTAGAAAGTTCACCATAAACCCTAGAAAGTTCCACATGAACCATAGAAAATTCACCATGAACCTTGGAAAGTTCACCATGAACCCTAAAAAATTCACCATGAACCCAAGAATGTTCACCATGAACCCTAGAAAGTTCACCATGAACCCTAGAAAGTTCTAGCCTGGCAAGCCAGACTAAATAAATGTATTATTTAGTCTGGCCACGCTCCATTGACGGCTCTTGGTTGTGGGGTGGATTCTACCGTTGTCTTTCAAATGATCTCCGCATTCCATTGCACAATGAATGTGACATACTCTTGTTTCACTCTGTTGCATCATCCCACCCACCAGGCATATAGAGTGCCCTGATTGGCCCACAAAGCGGATAAAGCTCTGTGATTTGTTCACTAAGCAGATAGAGCATGATTGGCCCACCATTATGGACCAATCACAGCTCTTTATGTGTTTGAAACCCCTCTAGAGAGCTGTGATTGGCTAGCCAGAGTCCTGGTAGGAGCTGCTGAGGTTCCAATGGAGCATGCCTAGACCATTCTTTGCAAAGCGAGAATTTGGTCTAGTTCACTAGGCTAAGAAAGTTCACCATGAGCCCTCGAAAGTTCACCATGAACCCTAGAAAGTTCACCATGAACCATAGAAAGTTCCACATGAACCCTAGAAAGTTCACCATGAACCCTAGAAAGTTCACCATGAACCATAGAAAGTTCCACATGAACCCTAGAAAGTTCACCATAAACCCTAGAAAGTTCCACATGAACCCTAGAAAGTTCACCATGAACCCTAGAAAGTTCACCATGAACCATAGAAAGTTCCACATGAACCCTAGAAAGTTCACCATAAACCCTAGAAAGTTCCACATGAACCATAGAAAATTCACCATGAACCTTGGAAAGTTCACCATGAACCCTAAAAAATTCACCATGAACCCAAGAATGTTCAACATGAACCCTAGAAAGTTCACCATGAACCCTAAAAAATTCACCATGAACCTTGGAAAGTTCACCATGAACCCTAAAAAATTCACCATGAACCCAAGAATGTTCACCATGAACCCTAGAAAGTTCACCATGAACCCTAGAAAGTTCACCATGAACCCTAGAAAGTTCACCATGAACCATAGAAAGTTCCACATGAACCCTAGAAAGTTCACCATGAACCCTAGAAAGTTCACCATGAACCATAGAAAGTTCCACATGAACCCTAGAAAGTTCACCATAAACCCTAGAAAGTTCCACATGAACCATAGAAAGTTCACCATGAACCTTGGAAAGTTCACCATGAACCCTAAAAAATTCACCATGAACCCAAGAATGTTCACCATGAACCCTAGAAAGTTCACCATGAACCCTAGAAAGTTCACCATGAACCCTAGAAAGTTCACCATGAACCCTAGAAAGTTCACCATGAACCATAGAAAGTTCCACATGAACCCTAGAAAGTTCACCATGAACCCTAGAAAGTTCACCATGAACCATAGAAAGTTCCACATGAACCCTAGAAAGTTCACCATAAACCCTAGAAAGTTCCACATGAACCATAGAAAATTCACCATGAACCTTGGAAAGTTCACCATGAACCCTAAAAAATTCACCATGAACCCAAGAATGTTCACCATGAACCCTAGAAAGTTCACCATGAACCCTAGAAAGTTCTAGCCTGGCAAGCCAGACTAAATAAATGTATTATTTAGTCTGGCCACGCTCCATTGACGGCTCTTGGTTGTGGGGTGGATTCTACCGTTGTCTTTCAAATGATCTCCGCATTCCATTGCACAATGAATGTGACATACTCTTGTTTCACTCTGTTGCATCATCCCACCCACCAGGCATATAGAGTGCCCTGATTGGCCCACAAAGCGGATAAAGCTCTGTGATTTGTTCACTAAGCAGATAGAGCATGATTGGCCCACCATTATGGACCAATCACAGCTCTTTATGTGTTTGAAACCCCTCTAGAGAGCTGTGATTGGCTAGCCAGAGTCCTGGTAGGAGCTGCTGAGGTTCCAATGGAGCATGCCTAGACCATTCTTTGCAAAGCGAGAATTTGGTCTAGTTCACTAGGCTAAGAAAGTTCACCATGAGCCCTCGAAAGTTCACCATGAACCCTAGAAAGTTCACCATGAACCATAGAAAGTTCCACATGAACCCTAGAAAGTTCACCATGAACCCTAGAAAGTTCACCATGAACCATAGAAAGTTCCACATGAACCCTAGAAAGTTCACCATAAACCCTAGAAAGTTCCACATGAACCCTAGAAAGTTCACCATGAACCATAGAAAGTTCACCATAAACCCTAGAAAGTTCACCATGAACCATAGAAAGTTCACCATGAACCCTAGAAAGTTCACCATGAACCCTAGAAAGTTCACCATAAACCCTAGAAAGTTCACCATGAACCTTAGAAAGTTCCACATGAACCCTAGAAAGTTCACCATGAACCCTAGAAAGTTCACCATAAACCCTAGAAAGTTCACCATGAACCATAGAAAGTTCACCATGAACCCTAGAAAGTTCACCATGAACCCTAGGAAGTTCACAATAAACCCTAGAAAGTTCACCATGAACCCTAGAAAGATTAACCACGAACCCTAGAAAGTTCACCATGAACCCTAGAAAGTTCACCATCAACCCAAAAAAGTTCACAATTCATTTGTTACAAAGAACGACGAACACTGGAAACATTTCACACCATCTCTACATAACTGTTAATGAAAACATTTCAAACTCTTGAAGTGCTGTAATTCTGCTTCAGGAACCATAGTAACCAGAAAAGAAGACATAGAACCTATTTAGTTTGAACAAATCTTTTACATTAACATATAAAGGGCTGTATAAGCCATAATTCATACTCTGACACACGTATATTCTCTACACACACACACACACACACACACACACACACACACACACACACACACACACACACACAGACACACATAACGATAAACTATCAGTAAAAAATTCTGCACCAATTAATTAACTGCTTTGATTTCAATGTAAGAAACCGCATTGCTAAGCAACTTTTATTTCCTATTTTAGACCATGCATGATGTAATTTATTAAACACTACTGCATCCTATCTCCATCCTCTTGATGTTATTTTTAATAGTATTTGTCATTTTGTTTTGCGCGGTCCTTACACAACACACCACTGCAGTATGTATGAAAGCTCGTCTTGGCTCTCATTAAGCCAGGCGAAGATTTCACTGGTTAATTTTTATTTTTAAATGTATATTTTTTTCATTTTCCAGTGTATTTAAACAGATACCTGGTGTACTCTACTTGTCAGCACATCACAAGATTTAATGTGATTTTAATTAAGATGTTTTGTTCTCATTGCATTTTTTCTACTATAATTTTGTTTTATCCATTCATTCTATGTTCAGCTGATTGCTGTCTTTCTTTTCGCGTGTTGTATGGATGGAGGACCCTCTCGAAAACAAGATGCTACATCTCAAGAGGCTTTATCATCCAAAAACATAAGTAAATAAATAAAATAAACACACACACACACACACCGGTATATATATATGTGTGTGTGTGTGTGTGTGTGTGTGTTTATATATATTATATCTGATATTCTTATAATATTAAACCAGAAAGTATGTATTAATGTGCAAGTAAGAATGTGTGTGTGTGTGGGAGGAGAATATATGAATGCAAAAGAAGTTTGGATAAAACGGATGTGACTTTGAATGAAATGGAAGGCAGACCACCTTACTGATCTGTTATTGGCTGAAAGGTCCGAGGGCGGGTCATAGTCAAGAAAGAAGCGATCTAACCATGGACGGTGGAGACGAAGCTGGAGGCTTCAGTAGGCAAAGAGGGTGTTGGGGAATGATCTGGTCCTGAAATGGTCACATCTTCAACTCTTGAGCAGCAAAGGACATGCTCACCTCTCCCTAATATTCAAAGCATGGCTGAAAATGAAATGTAAGACCTTTTCAGAACAAGCACCTCTACAGGCCAGTCCGGCTGAACCTTTTAGAAACTGTTTCTGTCAACCGTGCCTCAATTCCAGCTAACTGGACATAAAATTACATTTTATTTTAAAGGGACTTTACGGAGTTTTGAATTTTTATGCTCGCAATTGCCCCCACAGGCCAAAAGCGTAACGGCAGCTTCAATAGTAGGCTCGTGCACGAGGCGTGCATGCTGTACGTGCACACTCCTTAACGCAAATAACAGCTGAGACAGTCAGCTCTGTGTGTGTGTGTGTGTGTGTGTGTGTGTGTGTGTGTGTGTGTGTGTGTGTGTGTGTGTGTGTGTGTGTGTGTGTGTGTGTGTGTGTATGTGTGTGTGTATGTGTGTGTGTGTGTGTGTGTGTGTGTGTGTATGTGTGTGTATGTGTGTGTGTGTGTGTGTGTGTGTGTGTGTGTGTGTGTGTGTGTGTGTGTGTGTGTGTGTGTATGTGTGTGTGTGTATGTGTGTGTGTGTGTGTGTGTGTGTATGTGTGTGTGTGTATGTGTGTGTATGTGTGTGTATGTGTGTGTGTGTGTGTGTGTGTGTGTGTGTGTGTGTGTGTGTGTGTGTGTGTGTGTGTGTGTGTGTGTGTGTGTGGAGTATATATTTGTGTGTGTGTGTGTAGAGATTAAATATGTGTGTGTATGATTGTATGTGAGAGTAACAGAATGAATTATAGCTTACACGGCCCCTCATAATAACATGTTTTTTCTAATCTCGAGTAATAAACACATTCCAAACCATTTAGCTATTTAATGTAAACTCGAGCTAGTACCTAAAGAAGTAGAACGCTACGAGCATCACGGCTCCGAGGAGGGCTCCAACTGTCACTCCAGTCAAAGCTGAAACTCCCAGTTCACCTGTAGAGACAGCCATTATTAGCAAAAACATGTTCATTGTGGTTCAACCTAAACTCACAGGGAAATATACTTACATGATGTTTGTGGCAGTTCTTGGTTCACTTCCTGTCTCCCTTTAACAGTAAAACGTCTGCTGTCGAAAGCTGACAGCAGCTGAAAAGTTTTGTTTACACCAAAGTAGTTTGCTACAACCTACAGGTTAAAAACACACGTAGTTGTTTTCCATTTCAGTATACCTTCTGCCAGTTAGGAAAGTTTTCAGAGACTTTTGGATTTGCTTATTTTTATTTTCGCTTACCTCATAGCTACCTGCTTCCACATTGGTCATGGCCATCAAAGAGAAATCTCCATTTCTGTCACCATTAACATCTATGGATACTTGTCCAGCAATCCCTGTTCAGCATCACAAAACAAAAAATAGCACAAAGCATCATGATTTATAGTTCTTACCCATTTCTATTCACAACGAAGTCAGTGTGCATGCTTGTGTCTGGAGCCTAAGGCCCCTCCCCTTCCAGTCAGCTTGTGGGTCCATGAATGGTGCTATAAAAGCTATTTTCTAATCTGCTTTGCCTTATGCTCTGAATCACACACATGCTGTACTTCGAGTACTTTGAGATTTATAGTGGTTTTCTCCACGTTTAATGCTCCTTTTGTGTCTTCTAGCGCCCTCATGTGTCTTGTCTGCATCTTCCTCATGTGTCTCCTGGTGTTCCCCATTTGCCCTCTAGGTTTCCCCCCTCAGACATCCCTTTCCCAGGTCCTGTGCTCTCTTGGCCCCCTCTTAGCCACGCCCCTGTTGTTTCTTTCTATGGTGTTTTCCTTTAGTGTCAGCTTCCCCTTAGTATATTAGTCACGGTTCATGCTTTCTGGTCTTTTGTTTTTCTCTTAGGTCATTTTCCTTTGTTACAGCCTTTCAGTATTTAGTGAGTTTTTCCCACCAGTGTGTTCTTCCTCCTCCCTGATTTAGTAATTGCCTTCACCTGGCCCCTCCCCCCACACACCTGCACTCATCTCCCTCATCTTCCCAGTCTATTTAAGCCCTGTCTTGTCTCTGTGTGGTTGTCGGTCCATTGTATGTTTGTCAGCGTTGTTTCGTGCTCTAGTTGAGATCATGTCTCCAGGTTTTGGTGCTCTCAGTGAGCTTTTGTTTTTGTTACCAGGGTTTTTGGATTTTTGGACTTTTGGCTCGCTGCCTTTGGGTTTATTTTTGTTCGTCCTGCAAAATAAAGCATTTTTACTTTACATCATCTCCAGCCTCTTGTCGTCTGGGTAATCTGCACTTTGGGTCCTAACCTTCCCCTCAACGTGACAGAATGGACCGACCACCCAGGACCCAGCGGATTACCCAGCTGTACAACTATTATGGAGACCCGGACTCCTGTCGGACTTTTTTCTTGGATGTGGTGCGCTTTTATGGCCCGGACGCTTTAGACATGGACTTGATAGTTAACACTGTGCTCCTCCTCAGGGGAAGAGCCCTACAATGGGCCAGCCATTACCTTGAGCAATATCCTTTAGAGGATATGGTTTTATGGGATTTTGCTGAGGATCTGCGGGACGCTTGCAGCAGCCCACAAGCTCCCTCCTTCTCGAGGAATCCTAACCTGTCAGCAAGCGCCGTGCTAAGAGCTGCCTTCTCAGCATCAAAGAAGCGCCACACCTCCACATCTCTGCCTGGTCCTGACAGCTCCACCTCCCCGTCCCAGACCGTCAGAACCGGAGTCATCTCATTTCCCTCTATGCATGTTGATGCCACCTCAGCTTCTCAGATGGGTCACACCCTCACCTGGTCCTGACAGCGCCACCACTTCCTCTCCGGTGGGCTGTATCTCATCCGCTGTACCTGCTGACGTCATTCCCGCTCCTCCCAAGAGCCGCGCCCGCGGTCGACGTTGCCGCCATTGCCAACATTCTTCTGCTGTCAGCGTTGTGCCACCCCTCAACGTGACAGGAGGATTTGAAGTTGTTCTACTCACAGCCAACTTTTCTCCGGGTCTGGTTCTATGACATCAATTTGGTGATGCACATTTTTAGTCCTCTACAACCTCTATCTTTCTTTGGGCGACGGTGGCACAGGAGTTAAGTGCTCGCCTCGTAATTTGAAGGTTGCAGGTTCGAGCCCCGCTCAGTCTGTCACTGTCGTTGTGTCCTTGGGCAAGACACTTAACCCACCTTGCCTGATTGGAGGGACCGGTGGCGACAGTGCTCATCAGCCTTGCCTCTGTCAGTGCACCCTAGGGCGGCTGTGGCTACACCATAGCTCATCACCACCAGCGTGTGAATGGGTGAATGGCTGATTGTGTTGTAAAGCACCTTGGGGGGTTCCAGGACTCTAGAAGGCGCTATATCAAATACAGACCGTTTACCATTTATTTTCACACAAAGCCTAAAATAACTTTTGCACATACCAAACAAGATTAGAAAATAGCTTCTATAGTTCCAATGACTTTCATATGTTTTCTTATTTTTGGGGATCCATGGTCCGGAAGTAGATGGAGGTGACTTGGGCTCCCTATACATACAAACATGACACGTGCCATTGGAGAAAATCATTCATGCTTTTCTTTCTAGTCGGCTGCATTAGGAAATGCAATGGTCTCCTAACTGGTCTTCCCAGAAAAGCTGTGAAGCAACAGCAGCTTGTTCAGGACGCTGCTGCTAGAGTCTTAAGAAGAACTAAGAGAACGGAGCACATCACTCCTGTTCTTAGATCCCTACACTGGTTACCAGTAAACCACAGAATAGACTTCAAAATGCTCCTTCTAGTTTATAAAACACTCAATGGGACCAAAATACATGTCTGATCTCATTCCTGTATACACACCCAACAGGGCTCTGAGATTCTTAGGAAACAATCAGCTGGTAGAACCTCGGATCAGAACCAAACAGGGTGAAGATGCTACTGCTACTTATATATGGAATTCCATTGAATGAAAACTTCTATTTACATGAAATTGTGAATAATGTCACTCACCACGTTACTTTTTGAACAAAAAATCTCAATCTTTCATCTTTGCAAAGTTTTCAATAACTTTATAAACTTTCAACTATTCCCCTTTAATTTTTTTTAAAATCTCTCAAAGTTCTTGAACGATGTTAAAATCCACAGGGTGATGACGTCCCAAATGTTTATTCTCTAGGAAGGACACTTCTATCTAACAGAGCGTAAATGTGACATGTGCCACTCCAATATTATAAGTTATAGACTAGGCTTGGGGGGGGGGGGGGGGGGGGGTTGGTGAGTTAACCATGCTAGCTTAAACTCGTGTGCTAACATCACAATATTGTACAGATTACTATCATGTACCAGACAATTAAAATAGTATGGGTCAGTTAATTTAATATCAATACTAATGAGCCCCGCCTCCCTCTCCCAACCTCCAACACACAACAACAACACATACCCTTTTACAGTCAGCTAATACACAGAACAGAGGAAAAGGAATACAAGATTTTTAAACATGAACCTTACTGCAGTATTATGAAATTTACACTTTATACATAATCCAAATATATCGGAAAGACACGGAAATAAAAACCTCAATATTTAAATTATTTGCAATGGTCTGGATGTGTCACCTGCAGATTGGTGTTTACATTTGCAGACGGTCCCTGAGTGCTCGCGGTAGTTTTGTAACGCGTTGCGCACAGAGGACGGGTTGTTTAGAAAAAAAGAGGTTTTGGTTTGTTCACTACCTTTTCACGATACCAAAGAGGTATGTTACGTTTCCAAATGACCTTCTGATCAGAAGTTAATAAGCTGTAAATGTTGAATCTGCCAATAACTTGCCAACTTTACTGAAGAACGTCAAGGCCAAGGAGTAATCTTGCCTTGGGCACCAAATTGGGCAGAGCCGGCCCTGGGTCAGCCGGTAGAACCTCGGGTCATAACCAAAGAGTGTGAATCTGCTTTTAATCACTATGTTGCAAACAGATGGAATCAGGTTCCTCATGATCCCCAGTGAGTCGTGGAGGATGGCTGCTTATACTGAGCCCTCTGGAGGTTTCTCCCTGTTAAAAGGGATCAGAAGCCGGCAGCTACTTTGGGGGCAAATTTCAAGTTTAAAAGTAAGCCAACTAATTTATAATGGTTTTTTTTTTAGACCCAAAGAAGTTATCTATGGTTGGTTAGTTGCTTATTAATTTCTTAGTTTACACAAGTAAAAGGCTCATTATATATGTAAATTGAAACTTATTTGTGTAAAATATAACGCTATCTGCCGTTGTCATCGTTCTCGGGTCGAGGTGAGTCCTCCTCCTCAATTAACTATCTTTGGGGTTCTGTGTTCCACAGGTGAGGAGGGGAGGGGCACCAGCTGTGCAGAGTTAATCATTTGGAGCTCAGGTTTAAAAGGAGGATGGAGACACCACTCGAAGCCGGATGATTACTTCAGTTATGGTAACGCCTGCCACTTGTATTCGTTTGCTCCTAGTAGTTTGCTCTCGAGTGTTGGATTATTTGGATTTTGGAACTTGGACAGTTATTTGGATTACGATTTTGAACTTGCTCCTGAAACCCGGTTCTGTTTGCCCTCCTATGATTTTCACCACACCTTCACTATTCAGCTAAAGAACTACGGATCTTCATTCCACGTCCCATCCTCCTCCTCGGTTCCTGGATCTCCCCTCTCTGCTGCCTCACCTCACGCTCGGCTGGGTCTCCACTCTCATCCACCTCTGCTCCCCACTACCCCACGGCACTACTCACCGGTTTTCTAGTGCTCCTTTAGTTCTCGTTTGTGAATAAAATACTTTAATTTCTTACCTTCTGACTCCCGTGCTGATTCTGCATGTCTTGGGTTAAACACCTTCCCCCAGTCATGACAGAATCATCCGACCAACAAGATAACCCAGCGGAATCAGTACTGGCAGACCTGGCTACCCGGATGGCGCAGCAGGAACAAACTCTTCCTGTCCTAATCGATCAACTGGCTGTCGCTAATCAACGGTACCAGCAGTTGGAGGCTCTGGTTCAACAACTGCACGATCGGCCCCCACCCAGGCTCCGTTTGCGGTCCCGGAACCAGCGCCACCGGCTCAGATTCAGCCCGGACCGGAAGTGCCCGGACATACGGAACTCACCTACTTCTGTCTAGCTCCGCCTCCATCTTGTCCAACGTTTTCCGGTGAATTTGAGGATGGATATGGATTTTTGTTACAATGTCGCCTGACTTTCGAGCGTTTCCCAAGCACTTTTTCTTCCGATTCTGCTAAAAACTCTTTTATTGTGGGACTGCTAAGAGGCAAGGCTCTTAGATGGGCTGAGGCTAAGAGTCGCAACCCTGAGTTTTTATCTGGTTCCTATGAGGATTTTGTGGAAGAATTTAAATTGACTTTTTGTAGCTCTGAGACAGTCAAGGACATCCGTAAGAAATTGTTACATCTCTCCC